GCTTCTTTCGTCTGCAGTGTAGCATATTCCCGAGGGCATACCTAGGGTGTAGACTGCAGCTTCGCACAGATGCGGTGTTGTGTCCGCATGTAACCTTCACCCTACCATTTAGAAGGCGTTTCAAATGTAAAAGTGGTATAGAATCATCTAGAATTGTTCTACTTAAATAAAAAGAAAGCAAACAGTTGAAAGTTCAAATATTTCAGGTTTTATTGGTAATAGTTTTACTACACTAAGCTCACAACAGCTTATGCTAATGAAGCACATCTAATTTAGTGAGGTAATATACTTTGGGTTATAAGCCACTATTTTACATATCACTAAGAGAGGAAAAAAAATAGTGTCGGTTTTACTCTGAAAGACCATCCATTTTAATGTTATATTCCAGTTTCAGAGATTGGAGAGAATTTCCAATTTCAGAGATCTTGCAGAAAAAAAGGATGTTCACAAACAGTGAACTAATGGACTGGCTTTTTTTGTTTTTCTTTAATGTGTTTTTATTTTTCCTGAAAGAAATAAACAGATCTTCCATCTAAAGACAATTTATTGAGATAAATGAGGTATAGTTTCCAAATGTAGCACTATGCTATCCTATCAAAATGCCTGCAGTTTATTTAAGAGACATTACTTCGTCAAGAACTTCTCCAGTGTTAGTTATTTGATTGTTTAAAGTGCTTTATTTTTTTGTTTGTTGTAGCTGTATATCTGTGAAGAAAACAGAAGAGCTAATGAATACGATTTCAAGAAAGCTTTGGACTTGCTGGAATACATTGATGAGGTGAGTAGCATCGTGTGACAGGATCTCAGGCAACTGAATGCACAAAGGACTGCAGTCAGTCCGGTTTACCTCTGTCTGCCCTGAGCACCAGCAACCTTTTAGAGGCAACAGAAAAGTTCTGGAGAGCTGTTGCTTCCTGAGAATTCCCACATGACTTTTTCTGTGCCCAAATATTGCTTTTTAAAGTTTTGATGTATTTTTTCCTGTTTCATTTATAATCATTAGCTTTGAATCTGATGTGTTGCGTTTTTCATCAGGTTAGTCTTCATAGCATAGAACCTTAAGAGAAGGTGCTCTCGGCTTTCCAAAGCCTGCTGTGAATATTCTGTAGGAGAGCTGCGTTGAACTGGCCATGCAGTTGCGAGTATTTCAATAGTTTGTAGAAACATAATGTGTGGATTTAAAAACTTAACTCTTATCACAGATCTGAAACTGACTCATGCAGATGCTGGTAGTTTATCTTATAAGTAATGCTATCTTAAAGAGAAATTTTTGATTTGTGAGTAAGAGTAATTTGTGTGATCAGAAGTTCATGTAGCTAAAATTTAATCATGCCTCTGTTATTTAGAGTTGAAATTTTTTCTATTTATTTTGCTATAAAGGAGGAAGATGTAAATATAAACGATCTAAAACTGGAAATCCTTTGCAAAGCTCTTCAGAGAGATAAGTAAGTTCTCACAGCATGGACCCGTGGCAGTTTCAAGAAGACATTCCTCTTAAAGAAGATATTTTAAATGGTTTTATAAGCTTCTAATTGTATTGCAACATACATTATGAAATGTCACTTGATTCTCTTAGTAATTAAAAAACATTTTCAGTAGTTAAAGAAGTAACTTAAAGACTTGGAACCACTGGTATATTATTCAGTGATAATTTTGGAACTAATATAATATTCAATCACAATTTTCAGTTTTAAAAGTTAGACTGTCAGCTTGCACAGAAATGCACATGTTCCCTTTTTCTTTGTAAAAAAAAATTTTTTTATTGGAAAGTCAGATATACAGAGAGGAAGATCTTCTGTCCAGTGATTCACTCCGCAAGTGGCCATAAGGGCTGGAGCTGAACCAATCTGAAGCTAGGAGATGGGGAGCTTCTTCTGGGTCTCCCACACAAGTACAGGATCCCAAAGCTTTGGCCTATGCTCAACTGTTTTCTCAGGCCACAAGCAGGGAGCTGAATGGGAAGTGCAGCTGTCAGGATTAGAATCAGCGAAGGCCAGGGCTTTAGCTGTCACACTACCGTGCTGGGCCCACATGTTCCTTTTTTCACAGATGTCAGGCCCATTATAACTTACATTACTGAAAGACACTTTCTTTCTTTCTTTCTTTTTTTTTTTAAGATTTATTTTATTTTTATTGGAAAGGCAGATATACAGAGAGGAAGGGCTTCCGTCCAATGATTCACTCCCCAAGTGAGCGCAACGGCCGATGCTATGCCGATCCGAAGCCAGGAGCCTCTTCTGGGTCTCCCACGTGGGTGCAGGGTCCCAAAGCTTTGGGCTGTCCTCCACTGCTTTCCCGGGCCACAGGCAGGGAGCTGGAAGGGAAGCGGGGCTGCCGGGAATAGAACCGGCGCCCATATGGGATCCCAGGGTGAGCAAGGCGAGGACTTTAACCACTGCGCCACCGCGCCGGGCCCAAAAGACACTTTCTTTCTAAACAAAAGGTTGTTATATCATTTAAGGGCCATTGCATTCTTTTTATTTTTTATTTATTTATTTTTTAAGATTTGTTTATTTATTGGAAAGCCAGATACACAGAGAGGAGGAGAGACAGAGGAAGATCTTCTGTCCAATGATTCACTCCCCAAGTGAGCGCAACGGCCGATGCTGTGCCAATCCGAAGCCAGGAGCCTCTTCCGGGTCTCCCACATGGGTGCAGGGTCCCAAGGCTTTGGGCTGTCCTCCACTGCTTTCCCAGGCCACAGGCAGGGAGCTGGGTGGGACGTGGAGCTGCCGGGATTAGAACCGGCGCCCATATGGGATCCCAGGCGCATTCAAGGTGAGGACTTTAGCTGCTAGGCCACGCCGCCGGGCCCAGTTGCATTCTTTTTCTAGTTGTCAAGTCTCAGCTTCTTTGTTAGACTCATTTCCCCTCTGCAGAGGAGGATTTCCATCTAGGGAAATGATTGTGTTAAGATTCAGTGGCAGATGGGCCCGGCGCAGTGGCGCAAGTGGTTAAAAGGTCCTCGCCTTGCACGCCCGGGATCCCATATGGGCGCCGGTTCTAATCCTGGCAGCCCCGCTTCCCTTCCAGCTCCCTGCTTGTGGCCTGGGAAAGCAGTCGAGGACTGCCCAAAGCTTTGGGACCCTGCACCCGCGTGGGAGACCCGGAAGAGGCTCCTGGCTTCGGATCGGCATAGTATCGGCCCGTTGCGCTCACTTGGGGAGTGAATCATCGGATGGAAGATCTTCCTCTCTGTCTCTCCTCTCTGTATATCCGCCTTTCCAATGAAAAAATAATAAAAATAAATGTTTAAAAAAAAAAAAAAAGATTCAGTGGCAGAGACACTAAGAATAATCAGTTGTAGGAATGGATTCTTTCCAGGAAAAGAATTTTAAAGAGAAAGCTAAAAGCAGCCTCCTCCTCACCACCCCACCCCCTGACATACTTTCCTCTTTGCCATGATGGTGAGAATTTAGGGCGGAGCTGTTTTTACTAAAGCATTTCTTTCTTCCTTCCTCTGGTCACTCCCAGACAGTTTAAAAAAAAAGGTTGTTTAATTTGATCACAGAGGTCCTCTTTCGCAGATCTGTGTGCCTGCTTGATTCTTTCTCATTTAATCAGAAAAATGTTTCCCTTTGCCTACAAATTCCCTGTCCTGGCTTCTTGTTTAAACTTCGTGAAGGTGGGCCCGGCGTGATACCATAGCAATTAAGGTCTTGGCCTTGAACGCGCCAGGATCCCATATGGGCACCAGTTTTAATCCCGACAGCCCTGCTTCCCATCCAGCTCCCTGCCTGTGGCCTGGGAAAGCAGTCGAGGATGGCCCAAAGCTTTGGGACCCTGCACCTGCGTGGGACACCCGGAAGAGCTCCTGGCTCCTGCTTTCGGATTGGCTCAGCTCCAGCCGTTGTAGTCACTTGGGGAGTGAACCATCAAATGGAAGATCTTCTTCTCTGTCTCTCCTCCTCTCTGTATATCTGCCTTTGCTATAAAAATGATTAAGTCTTTTTTTTTTTAATTCTTATTAACATTGTGATACAGTTTTATAGGCACTGGGGATTCCCCTCATCCCTCCCCCCATAGTGGATTCCTCCACCTTGCTGCATAACCACAATTCAAGTTCAGTTGAGATTTCTTCATTGCAAGCATATACCTAGCATAAAGTCCAGCATCTTATTGTCCAGATAAGTTCAGTGGCCTCTTGGGGAGACCTTCTCTTCTGAAGGTAGAGCTAACAAAGTAAAGTTCCGGTCAGTTAAAAGCCCCAACAAAACATCAGCATCAATATACAACGTTATGGAATTAATTGACATAGTATTGAGTAAACAATATGTTAAAAATAATACAAGTTCAATTCTTCAAAACATCTGTGTTGAGACAGTATCAATGACAAATCAAGAAGGTGTATAATGGATATTTACGTAGATTCGGCGGTGGTTTTACGCATTGGTCTTTCAGTAGAAAATAGGACAACATAGATGAATTAAAGCTCCTCTTTTTATGCTAGACAATAGCTTGCATTTTACTTTTATTTGAAGCGGAATATTTCGCATCACATTCTAACCATTGCCTGTGCTGTGCAGAAGAACACTTGAGGACCCATGCTGGATTTGTCATGTACAAAAACCTCGCTGTTTTGGCTGGTCATTTTTTTCAGCTATGTCAGTGATTTGTGCCTGTTATAAAAACTGTGTCTGCAGCATTCGGAGCCTCCTTTAGCCTTATGATTTTAAACAGATTCACAGAATTGACTCTCTCCTCACAGCCACTGAAACAAAACCATAAAGTCATTTATTTCAACTATGGCAATGATTTCATTTTTACCTCATGGTGATTTTGTGTTCTAGCTGGTCCAGTTCCGATGGTAAAGATGATCCAATTGAAGTATCCAAAGAAAGTATTTTTGTGAAAATTTTACAGAAGCTTCTAAAAGATGGTAAGTGGTTTGTTACTGGAAATTACAGATTACAGTGACACTTTTCTTTTTCATTTTCTTTTTTTTTTTCCTGTCTCAGGTTTATTTGTACAAACAGCACAGGAGGACAGCAGCCCCGGGGTCACACCAGGCCTTCTGTCCCTGCATTGGCCAGCAGAGGCTGTCACTACTGAGCCTTCGTGGGGAAGCCCCCCACCTTTGGGAGATGGTTGAGCTGGAGTGGCTGCTGCGGGTGCAGCCTGGGCTGGGGCTTTGGGCTTGATCTGGGCCTTGGCCTTGCCCTTGACTTCAGCCTTGGCCTTTGCCCGGGCCAGCCTGACACTGTTGGCCATGGGGGCACGAGCACGCTTCCCGAGCTTGGGGTGGGCGATGTAAGCAAGTCGATCGTGCTTGTGGCTGACTGCCTTGGAGATGGTGGGCTTCACGTCCTTGGGTTTGACGATGGCCTTGATGGCCTCGGCCTGTGCAATCATGGCCTTGGCGTTGTTGGCTTGCATCTTCTTCAGGCCCTTCTTGCTGTGCTTCTTGGCAAAGTGCATGTTCCTCAGGAACTTAGGGACCACCCCTTTAAGAGATTCATATCTTTGTGATCGGGGCTTCATGATGCCATTTTTGTGCCACTTTTTGGGACTTGTGGTTCTTGGACTAGGCCATATCTTCACCGAAACGCGTGGCTGCTGAAGCCTCCAGGATCGGAAAAGGGACACTTTTCGTTTTAAAACTCCTAGAGTAAAAGGGATTTGCTAAGACTTGAAATGACGAAGAGATTTAAGATTAAACAGTCAAAGAGATGTGTTTGTAACAGAGAGGAATCCCTTTGCCACCTCTGCACATGTAGAAGCGGGGTCTTTCTCCTGCTAGTTCGCTGGGTGACTGAAGCAGGCAGATTGCCTTGCTGAGTCAGCATGAGTAAGGAATGACACCCAGGACACCTGGGACAGACATTGTTAGAATCCATCTGATGATAAAGACACAGGTAGGTAAAGAGACTTTTACAGACAAGTTCTTGTCCCTGGGGCAGAGGCTTGGCCAGTGGTTAAGATGCACCTGTCGGTTAGTGGAAAGCCTGGGTTTGTTTGTTTCCTGTCCCAGCTTCCCACCATTGCAGACCCTGGGAAGCAACTGGTGATGACTCCGTTACTTAGGTCCCTGCCACCCATGTGGCAGACCTGGATTGAGTCCCTGGCTTCATTGGCTTAACCCTGGCTGAGGCTTCCTGTCTCTTAAGAAGTGATTTTTTTTTTAAGTAAATAGAGTCCTTGTTCTTAAGACAGATAGGAATGTGAAAGACTTCCTTTGATGTTAATGGGAGCTTAAAATACGGAGAGCGGTAGACAAGTGATGAGTTTAGTTTTATGTAAAATAGCATTCATATTTGTTATAGAATTATTAGACCAAAATATTTTATTCCAAAATTCAGACAGTGCAAAATAGGCTAACCTAAAGTTCGCTCATCTTTCATAAGTCCGCGGAATCTCAGCGTCAGTCCCTTTGTCTTCCTGAGGTGGGGGTTGGGGGCGTGAGGTAGAGTGCACGGAGCCTGAGCAAGCATGCTCAGCTACTGCCCGCATGAGGCTGACACCAGAACCCAGGAAGTTAGTCCAGGTTTGCCATGTGGCAGGAACCCATCCGAGTTGCTCCTCAGAGTCTATAATAGTACAGAGCTGGGATCAGGAGCTGGAGGTGGCTGTGAGACCAGGCACTCTGATACTGATGTGGGAGCTTTTTGATTTAAGTTTGGTTTTTTTGTTTGTTTGTTTGTTTTTAAGATTTATTTATTTTGGGCCCGGCGGCGTGGCCTAGTGGCTAAAGTCCTCACCTTGAATGCGCCAGGATCCCATATGGGCGCCGGTTCTAATCCCGGCAGCTCCACGTCCCATCCAGCTCCCTGCTTGTGGCCTGGGAAAGCAGTCAAGGACGGCCCAAAACCTTGGGACCCTGCACCCGTGTGGGATACCCGGAAAAAGTTCCTGGCTCCTGGCTTCATATTGGCATAGCATTGGCCGTTGCACTCACTTGGGGAGTGAATCATTGGACGGAAGATCTTCCTCTCTGTCTCTCCTACTCTGTATATCTGACTTTCCAATAAATAAGTAAATATTAAAAAAAAAAAGATTTATTTATTTTTATTGGAAAGTCAAATATAGAGAGGAGAAGACAGATGGGAAATCGTCTGTCCGCTGATTCACTCCCCAAGTGTCCACAACGGCCAGAGCTGAGCTAATCTGAAGCCAGGAGCCTGGTGCATCCTCCAAGTCTCCCATGCAGGTACAGGGTCCCGAGGCTTTGGGCCGTCCTCCACTACTTTCCCAGGCCACAGGCAGGGAGCTGGATGGCAAGCGGGGCCGTCAGGACACGAACCCCACGAACCAGTGCAAAAGAAATCCCAGCATGTGCAAGGCGAGGACTTTAGCCACTAGGCTACAACACTGGGCCTGTGATACGAACATCTTAACGAGCATGCAGGCACAATGGCTGGCCCAGCAACACGATGTTTAATATCAATTGAAAGAAACATAGTGAAAAAAGTGGTTATAATTTCGGTAATCCTTCTAAGTGAATGTGAATTTTACTCATAGTTTTGACAGTTATGTGCATCTGAACATGTTCTATACATTTTCTATACATATATCTGCAAGACATATTTAATCTTCATGAAGTATACCAAGCCGGGTGCCTGGCATAGCATAGCAGTCAGTTGTGTGGCAAACATTTGTTCTTGAGTATACAGAATTATTTGCACATCCACAGCGCCCTTCTGCTGACCAGCTTCTGCCCCCAGCTCGGCCCTGCCATGGCAGTACTGAGAGTCCCTGACTTCACCAGGTGAGGTGAGGAGGACTCAGAAATGTCGTACGGCTGACCACACCAACCAGTGTTCTGACATGAAGAGCGCAAGTGCTTGATTCTCTTCTCCAGAAGCTCTCAGAGCCAGGCCACCTGGACCTGCTGTCCCTGCTTTTCTGATATTTAGCCTCCTTTAGAAAAAAAAAAATATATGTGTGTGTGTGTGTGTGTGTGTGTGTTTACTTATTTTTATTTGAAAGGCAAATTTTACAGAGAGAGGAGAGAGAGGTCTTCCTTTCACTGGTTCACTCTCCAAATGGCCACAACGGCTGGAGCTGAACCAGCCCAAAGCCAGGAGCCAAAAGCTTCCTCCGAGTCTTCCATATAGGTGCAGGGTCCCAAGGCTTTGGGACACCCTTGACTGCTTTCCCAGGCCACAAGCAGGGAGCTGGATGGGAAGTTGAGCAGCCAGGACCTGAAGCAACCACCCATATTGAATGCCTGTACTTGAAGGCACAAGATTAGCATGCTGTTCCAGCATGCCAGCCCCTGGCCTCCTATTTTATACCTGATAAAATGTAAATGTAATTCTACAGCTGATTGCAACTTGCTCACAGTTGGTCTGTACTTTGATTTGTGAAAAGGCGTTCTTGTTCATCCCACAGTGTCAGGGTATTGCATGAGCACTTCTGCTTTCAAGCTGAGTATGTAACAGCAAAGATAGACATTTTGACTGTCAAAAAATAAATATCGATGGAAGTTTTGTCAAATTAAGCCATCACTTGAAGATGTCCACACCCTGTATTGGTGGCCAGGATTGAATTCAATCCAGCTTTCTGATAATGCCCATTGGGAAGCAGCAGATGGTGGCTCCAATACTTGGGTCCTTACCACCTATGTGAGACACCCTGACAGAATTCTGAGCTCCTGGGTGGCTCAGCCCAGCTCTGACCTTTGTGTGATTTTGGAGTGTGAGTCAGCAGATGGAAACTTTGTCTATTCTTCATCCCTTTTTGTCGGTCTCACTCAGCTTTTCAAATAGATAAATCTTGAAAAATAGAAATGTATAATTAAAGGAATAAATAAATATAGCAAAAAGAATAATCTTTTTTGGAAATACTTGACATTTAGAACAAAAATATATTATACAACACTTTGTTCTTTCTTCACTGTCCGACACTGGTGGACTTGGTGCACAAAGCCAGTATTCGTACACGTGGACTGATGCTCAGTAGCAACATCAGACTTTTAAAGACTGAGGGTTGCATAAGCATAAGCAGGGAGGGTTTGAGGAATTTACCAATCAGCAGCAAGAAGGAGTTGACTTGAGGCTATAGGAGTTCCAGCACCTCTGCCTTGATCTGTTATGTAAACCTGAGGATTGGGGAGTTCCTGACCTGTGCATTTCCGTATCAACCACTCCTGGAACGTTCTGACAGGATTGTGGCAGCCATGGCTCCACACTGGCGAGGCTTCCCAGTGTCCTCTGTTAAACACTCAGCTTCCTGCAGATCCAGTCAATTGTCCTGACCTCTTTCTGTTTTTAGAATTTTAAATCACTGGATATGATTAGCCTGTCTGAATCTATTGTTCTCCAGTTGAGCCAGATAAATTATTAGAAAGCATTTGGACCCAAATCTGATGCTTTTCATAAAGTGAATTCTTGTAAAAGTACTGTAGAAGTGAATTGTGTCTAATTAAGTGTCTGGCACTGGTACTTCTAATGCCCTTACAGTTTTGGCTACTCTTAATAGGTAACTAACAGATGAGAAACAGAAATGAAAAGTCACAATTTGACAAAAAAAAAGTATTAGATATTTTTAATAAATGAAGAAAGTATGTGAATAATGCATATTGTAACAATAGGCCAAAGATTACTTTGGAAGCTTTTATTAGATCACATGTACAGTGTGTTAAAAGACGAAATCTGAGCAGAGAGCCTTGTGTTAGATTTCACAGGCCTTGGCAGCCCTGTCTGTGCAAGGTGAGGACTTTAGTCACTAGGCTACCACATGCTAAGCCCAGATTTTTTTTTTTAAATAATATCTGATTTTGAGAATCCTGGAGTAATGTAACCAATTATAAAATACTGTTGTGATTTGAAAGTTCCTCCAATTTCCTTCATTTGTCAAGTAGGAAAGCTATGTATACTTTTTGTTGTGTACATATCTCAGCTTCCATTTGATCAGTGTTCAATAACTTTCCAGCTCGGAATATGACTTAACGAGGAAAGGCTGCGTTTGCCAATCTAATTTTAAACTGTACTGCATTCTGGGATCCTGTCACCAGTTTTCATCACAGTGTTCCTAGATGATTTCCCAAAAGGGGGACCATGTAACTATCTGAAAAACTTACTGTCGAGTGATAATTAGTTTTAAACTTCCCGATTGAAGATGTGTCTTAAGCTGTGAGAAAACCAAAATCTTTCAGATCTCATTAGAGACTTTAAATAGAATGGCTATTTTGACCCCATGGGGGAGGGAAATCCCTCAAGTAGTCTTTGAAGAATGTCATATTGTTAGAACTAAAAGTATGTTTGACAGATGGAAGGAATTTAGTAGGGAGCATTTCTCAAGAGCAAAGTGACATTATAGTTTAAATAGAAGCACAGGTGTTTTTGTCATCAATCATCTTAACTCATCTGAGAGTTATACAAAAATAAAAACTGACTTTCTTCTTTTTGTTGCTAGGCATTCAGCTGCGTGAATACTTACCGGAGGTGAAGGATCTCCTGCAGGCAGACCAGCTCGGAAGCCTCAAGTCCAATCCTTACTTTGAGTTTGTTTTGAAAGCAAATTATGAATATTATGTGCAGGGACAAGGATAATTTTTTTAGACTGGTCACTGTTTCTAAAATTTATGTAAGTGTGTAACATAGAAGTTCAGGTACTAAGCAAGTAGATGTTTTTACTATTTTATATATATATGCCTGGAATTTTTTTGTGCTTTATTTGGAAGTTTAATATAAAAAAATTTTATAACTACAAGTTTTGGTTTCAATTACATAATTTTTCCCTCCCTTTTCACCTGAGATGTATCTGTTGTTGTCTCTGTCCTTCCCCTTTCTTTTTCACCTGACTTGGTCCAGAGGCTCCATGTGTCTGCATGTGACTTCTGGGTCTCAGTTCTCTCTGGTTCGTTAGGTCGTCTGCAGGGGCTGTGACTGCATCTGATGCCCTGAGGAGAAACCGGGGTGCTTGCTATCCGTCTTGTTTAAAGTGAATGGGAAGTATTAGTAAGATAAATCGCAAATATTGCCAACTGAAAATAAAGCAGAGTGTACCGGAATTCATGTGAATTTGATGCCCAATTAATTGATTGGGAATAGTTTGAACTTTTCTGCGAAAGTAATGAGTATTAATAAGTGTTTTAATGGGAAAAGTAACTTGTATATAAGCTCTCATTGACAGTAAGTTCCTAATATTAATGTTAGTTATAATCTTTCAGTGTGGGGATTACCAGGCTTCCATGTGGGCAGAACGTTTTTCAGTGAGTTCCAGCTCCAACAGTCTGCCCGTCTTGTCAAGAAGCATCTGTGATGTTGAAAGCCATTATGATTTTACCTAATATGGTCCTGAGGTGACTCAGCCCCCAAGCTTTCTCGACCGATGTCACCACCCTGTTTATCTGGCTTAAATAAAGATCAGGGACTGGACGAGCGTTTTGGCTCAGTTGATTGCTCACTACCGGATTGCTGCAACAGCTGAAAAGGTCAGAAGTTAAACATGGTGGACAGAGTCCAGAGTCCAGCGTTGCCGCCTCTCCCTGCAGGCTGGACTCAGCTGAGTGGAGCTAATGAGCTGTTTATGGTAATCCAAGGGAAGAAATTAGCAGCCTGGCATTTTCCTGTTTGCAGGTTAGGACAGCAAGCATCAGGGTTCAGGTTAGGAATATATTCAAAGGTACTAAAAAGGGTATTTAAGGAAGAACATCTTGTCAGGCGACCAATAGGAAACTGCCAAAACTACCACCATGTACTTGGTTTTACATAGACCCTAACTATAGATATTCACTTTGATACTTGATGACCGTAGGAGGTAGTAATGTGCTTTGGGGACACAGACTCCTGCCACTTTCCTGTTGCCACGGAAGTACTTTGGCATTATTTGATGGGTGGAATTAATTAAAGCCCAGTTATCCCTGCTTCAACAGAATGCTACAGAGGAGCCAGTGGGTGATTTCCTGGGTGTGGAAGGTCAGCTCTTGCGCTGTGGATTGTGCTGGTTCCGTGTTGGTCTTCTAGCTCTACCTCATGTAAATCAGTGAATACAGTAGCTGAATTTTAAAAACTAGTAGTGAAAATGAAAATCAGAGCTGTAATTTTGAATATATTTTTAAATTTCTATGTTCATTAAAGAATTGTTCAGTTTTTGTATAAAATAAGTAATTGATAATGACTTCATAAGTGTTCTGTGATCAATTATTTTTTTGTTTGTAAGAATTTTTTTTTTTTTAATTAGAAAGTCAGATATACAGAAAGGAGGAGAGACAGAGGGGAAGATCTTCCATCTGCTGGTTCACTCCTCAAGTGACCACAATGTCCAGAGCTGAGCCAAAGCTGAACTGATCTGAAACCAAGAGCTTTCTCCGGGTCTCCTACCTGAGTGCAGGGTCCCAAGGCTTTGAGCCGTCCTTTACTGCTTTCCCAGGCTACAAGCAGGGAGCTGGATGGGAAGAGGAGCAGCCGGGATACAAACAGGCACCCATATGAGATCCCAGTGCATGGAAAGGACTTTGGCCACTAGGCTACTATACTGATCCCAACCGATTCTTTGTATAAATAGATATACAGATAGATATAAAATAAAAGATTTATTTAAAAGTCAAAACTACATAAAGAGATGGAGAGAAATCTTCCATCCACTGTCTCACTCTCCAGGTGGCCACACAACAGCAGGCCTAAATCAAGAGCCTCCTCAGGTCTCCCACATGGGTGGCAGGAGCCCAAGTACTTGGGCCATGTGTCTCTGCTGCTCCCAGGTCACCAGCAGGGAGCCGGGTGGGAAGTGGGTTAGCTGGGACACAAACTAGTGTTCATGTGTGAGGCCCGTGTCGTAGGTGGCAGTCTTTCCTGCTCCTCTGGCCCCATGACATACTTTCTACAGAAGGGACATCCTACGGACTTGGGAAATATTGGTGTCCTCGCTGTCTCTTGAGTCCTGCTCAGAGAGGGCATATGCAGCAGCCTGTGGACTTGGGTCTTGAGCGTTTGTGAAAATGTCCGGAATGCTGGTCGCCCTGGAAACGACAAGTAATGGACTTGCTGGGTCTTCAACGGGAACAGCAAGGCTGCTTATACCTCTGTTAGGGAGGCTTGCCTTTCCTTTATAGATAACTTTAAAACATTTTTAAAGCAGAATCCTTGTTTTCCCAACACATCATGTGCTGCATACCAGGGAGCTAGGCCTGTGTGTGGGCCCATTCTCCTCTGACTCAGGTCGTGCTATCACTTCTTCACTGCTGTGATCCAGCACCCCTGGACATGTCGGGGCTACCTGCAAACATGTGACTGCAGCCACATGTTCCTATACACTGTGTACTGAGAAAGCCTTAAAATAATAGTAATAACTTTACACAGGGTTGCTTCAGAAATTCTTAGAAAATGTGTGTTAGGAAAAAAGCTATTCAGTAGTTCCAATTGTTTTGCACTAAAGTATACATGCAGTTCCATTACCCATGAACTCTCAAATAGCCGTTCATTAAATAATACCAAAATAAAGATTGTGTAATTCTAAATTTGTCTTCAAAATACTGTTGAAGCCTATAAAAAATCATTAGAAGAAAATTATACCCAATTACTCTTCCTTATAGAAATAATTTCAGTTGCTGTTCAAAACCTATCTTACACTATTTCAGACTGTACATACTGTGTGTGTGTGTGTGTGTGTGTGTGTGTGTGTGTGTGTGTGTGTGTGTGCATTTTCCATATCCATGTTTCTCATGCTTTCTTTCCTCACTGCTCCTTAGGATTTTTCAAGTTTTAATCACCTCCCGTCCCAATTAAAGCTTAATACTACTGATTTACTGTATATCTTTCTATGTGCAAGTTATGATTTTTAAAATAACTGCATGATACTTTATGGCTGTTCCAACATTTATTTCACTGTCTTTGTGTCAAAAATTAAAACATGGCAGGGTAGGTGCTGTCATTGTAGTGCAGTGGATTAAGCTTCTGCCCGCAACAGTTGCATTCCAAATGAACACCAGTTCGGGTTGCTGTTGTTTCATTTCTGATCCAACTCACTACTGAGGTGCCTGGAAAAGTAGCAGAGTATGGGCCATGTGGGAGACCCTAAAGGAGATTCTGGCTCCTGGCTAGTTTCACCCAGCCCCAACTGGTACATCTGTTTGGGGAGTGGATGGGATATATCTGTCTTGCGCTCGCTCGCTCGCTCGCTCTCTCCC